GTGCGAGGCTGCTAGCGAGCTATATCCACCCTGAAGGTTAATCTTGGACAATATCTGATGCTCGACTCTTTTAAATGAAACCAGAGAGCGTTGACAGAGAGGAGAAGGTAGAAATGGAAGAAGAACCTCAGCTTAGCCTGTTAGCCTTTGCACTAGCACTGACGCTATATTGCCTTAAATGTATTAGCTTGATGCTAATGCGACAAACGAGAACTGTTGTCCTCCATCTATATTTTCAGTTCCAGGCTGAGTCATTTCTACCTTCTCCTCTCTGTCAACGCTCTCTGGTTTCATTTAAAAGAGTCGAGCATCAGATATTGTCCAAGATTAACCTTCAGGGTGGATATAGCTCGCTAGCAGCCTCTCACCGATGACCTACCCACGTCATCATTTACCCAGAATGCTTTGCATGTAAATAAAATGGCCGTGTCCGTGTAATATATTTTTAAACTTTTAGTTTAAAAATGATAAAACCTAAACCACCTTCAGTATTTTTTACAGTATTTATTTTACAGATAAAATATATGTTTATTAAATAAAGTCTAATGTTATAACTAATCGGGGATCCCTTTAAAGAAGGAAAGCAAGAGTTTTGAAACAACCAAATGCAGCTGGGACAAATTATGTGAAACCTACAGGCCTAAAGAGACAGGGCACACACTTCAAGCTGGATCAAGATGGAAGCGGAATCAGACAAACATCTGCAGATAAAAACACAAGAGAGCGTTACTGGAGGAAAAAGACAAATAGGCGAGTAAAAAGACAAGAGCTTGACACTGAAGAAACAAGCCGTTTTGAGGCAATAGCAGCAATTAGCATGTGTTTTTGAACATCGCAGCAACGATGGCTAGCATTGATCCATGGAGGCTGTGGCACACAAAGATAAGACCTGCCATCCCCCAGAGAATAGCTCTGGGTGCAAGCGAGAGCGGAAGCCAAGGAGGAAGAAGAGGGTGAGGAAGAAAAAAAAGAGAAGGACTCTGATCATTTGGATGGAGGATGGGTGGAAAGGGAAGAGATGAACTTGACCCTCTAGCTCCGAAACAAACTTTTTTTCCTCATAGTTTGATTAACTTTTGAATTATTATACAGTATTTTGAACAGTTATGTGGTCGACACATACAGTTCTGTCCAACATTTCTCATTGGGAGCAAAAATAAAACATGCACAAACACCTGATTAACTCTCATGGCAACTTCCACCTATAGCAGGGGTGGGTTATCCTGGTCCTGGAGGGCCGCAGCCCTGCATGTTTTACTTGTTTCTCTGCTCCAACACACCTGATTTGAATGAATATATGATTATCAGGCATCTGCAGTATGGAGGACCAAAATGGACATAATTAGAAATAAAAGCAGAATTATATAAATTAACCACTAAATAAATACACTTAAAATGCACCAATTAGAGAACTTTATCTCCTGTTTTATGTTTTCATTGACTTTCATATTTATTGGTTAGTTTCAATAAATTAGTCCATATATTTTAACACTTAATTGAAATTTTACTGTTTTTTTACAAATATATTAATTTTTTAC